ATTTTTGATTTAATCGAAAATCCGGCAAAAACCTTGTTTTCGAAAATCTCTTGTTTTTCTCTTAGTTCAACTCTTTTCACGCGGTTTTTTCGTGCATTCTGTACATATTGCTTCTGTTCATAACGCAGACAGCCCACCCAGCCCTTACCTCTTCGATTATATTAGGTGGGTCCGAAAGTTTTGTCGTTTTTTCAATCCATCGGCAAACACGCTAGAATGGAGGTAAACAAACGCTTCAAAACGTATCCAATGCAGAATTTCTTCCTCTTTCCAGCGGCTAGACTCCCATTGTGTTTCGTTGCGAGAGTGACGAGATAGTTGCTGGAAATTACAACCACTCGTTTTTACTTTGTCCAACATTCGCTAATTTTCAAAACTTATGTATGAGACTTTCGGAGGAGCTTTAATAACCAGCAGATAGGGCAATACTTTTGCCATCTTATGCAATTTTTTCTTTTTTTCAGGTGCTTTTTTAGATTTTTGCTAAATGATTTTCTAAAAGTCTTGTGTTTTGCCAAAATAGCATAACCTGTTATTGCACCAAACACTGCAAAACCTATAAAAACTGAGGTTTTAACACATTATTGTTACTACCGTTACCATTACAAAGTAAATGAGCGATTTTCGCTTCAAATTATGAAGATTTTGAAATATAGGGTACGTCAGTGCGCACTCCTGAAATTGAGAAATATTGCGATCTTGCTTACAGATTTTGCCTGTCTCGGCCAAAAAAGACAACTGTTAGAAAGAGGAGAAAATTCTGCAGCGAATGGTGACTGAAATGTTCAGCATTTGATGTACTACGAGGTTAAAATAGGCTGATTGTAAAATTTGGTTAGTGTAAAATTCTCTTAGCAAAAGGATTGCCCTATCCGCTGGTTATTAGGGCTCCTCCAAAGGTCTCATACAAAAATTTTGAAAATTAGCGACAGTTGGACACGGTGAAAACAAGTGATCGTAATTTCCAGCAAATATCTCGTCATTCTCGCAACTAAACACAGTGGGAGTTTAGCTGCTGGAAAGAGGAGGAAATTTTGCTCGGATACATTTTGAAGCGTTTGTTTATCTTCATTCTGGCTTGTTTGCCAATGGATTGAAAAAACCGACAAAACTTTCGGACCCACCTAATGGTGATTTTTGCGAAAAATCGTAAAAATTGCGTTTTCCTTTACCTTGTTCTCTTTCAGTGCTTTCACGATCCAGCTTGGACGATACTTGCTCAGAACGATGAGCGCAACAATCCAGGCGACGTCCCAGGAAACAGCAACGTCAATGCGAGGGGGGGGGGAGGGGGTAAAAATTCAAAGAACGCATCTAAAATCAAAACCCCGCGTTGCGAATTGCTGGTCCTGGAGCGAAGACTTGCACCTCAAGAAGCCGCCAAATGAAAGATTTCAAAGATCATTGCAGCGTTTTCATCCGATTTTTAGCAGTTTCTTTTGCTTTTTATATCGTTTTACGTCATTTTCACTTCTCTGATATTCTTTGAACAACCTTCACTATTTGTAACGTCAGATGTTCAAACAACCTTCACCTGTCTCTAGACTATCGAAGGTATGGTTACTTATATGGATTATAAAAATGTGCAAGTGACTTGTTTATACTTGTAAATAATTAAAATTATTTCTAAAAATTTTTAAAATTTCAAATTAGCCTTATAGAAAAATTTTTTTTCGTGAGCGTGGCGTTTTCTAAAGTTTTGGGGTTATGGGCCCGCGAAATTGTTGAGGAGCATACCAAAAATTTTTTCTGGGTGCGTGGCTAACGCCGCGCACCTTCATTAGAAAATAATTTTTGTCGCCCCTTCCCCTCCCCCGAACGGAAATCCTGGGTATGCCACTGCCGATTATCGAATTACCTTCACCGAGTTGAAAAGGGTTGGAAAATAGCGTCAGCGTGAAAGTAGAGATCAAGAGCGTTAATATGATATACAGTGCTAGAGTTGGGCTCAAAATGCGAAAAAAAATCCATCGTTTTGCACTTTGTTTACTCTATCCAACGGTTATCGAAACTCTTAAAGGCACCGTCCACCCAAATTGGGGATGGTGAGATTATGATACTCAGCAGATGCGGGGCTCCCAATTGTACGATTGCCCAACTCGCGCTGCCTGAAGTTGCTTCCGAATCGAGAAAATTGCTTCGGAGATCGCTTTAGCGCTTCCGCGACGCTGGCTCCTCCCCTTTCGGAGTGGGCGTGACGTTCGTCCCTCCCATCCGTGCGCGCCCAACCAATCACCGCACCGAAGAAATCGCTCTGCGGGTTCTGAAAACGGGGATTTTCGACAAAATTGACAAAATTGATAAAATCGATATTCTGGAGGTTTCGAAATCCCGAAAGTCGGCAAAATAAGCGAAAAACTGAGCGAAATATTCGGAAAACTCTATAATAACTCATTTCCAGTGCTTATATACAGCTGAAACTCTTCCAAGCAAGCTCCGCCCACTTTTCACTTCGTATCACGACCAAAATCAAAGAAAATAAGCGAAAATGTGTTTACTTCCTTTCTAGCCGTTTTCAGCCCCCTAACCAGGTCCAAATAGCCGCGGATAACTATCACACACGTTGCAGTAATAAAGGGAGGGGGAAAATGAGGGGGGAGAAGGAGGAAAAATCGCGAGGCTAAAACCTAAAAAAAGCAAGTCCGGAAAGTTCCATAGATGGGGTCCCACAGACGGAGCCCCTGCCTTTTTTCCGAATTATATGTGATGTAACTATCACAAACGATTACCCCTCGATTAACTCAAGCGTGACTATCCCAGCCTGTCATCCCTACCCTCCACGGAGATAAAATTCAAAATATGCATCATCGCCCTTATATAGCACCTCCTACACAGACTGGAGCTATGGGCACGAACTTCCCCTGGGAAAATAGAGCTATCAAAAGTACATGTCAATGAACACATGAGATTACTCCAGCCCTGCAACTTGCAGAGACATGAGGCTGCAAACTCGCCCTTATTGACAGATTTTTCAACTTCGGCTGTCAATTAGGCACTTTTATTAGAGATTTGTTATTCTAGACCTTCTCTGAAAATCACATTTTCAGAGATCTCTCAAAAAAAAACCCAGCTCCGCATCTGTAATATTCGCAGAGTTATTCCCCGTGCATGCTCAGGCCACGAAATCGACTCCTCCAAAGTTGCCCCGTAATTCCCCCAAAAATCACGTTAGACACCTTTTTCATACCTATACACCCCATATTTTTTTCAGCTTCTTTCTTTACACACTGATATAGCGCGCTCGCTCCTCACTCTTGCCCTCGGCGCAGCATTTGGTCAAAATATTGAGGTTCTCGGATTGACCGGAAACTTCACTCATAGTGGTCTTGGTCCCGATCTTTACGAATATCCTAGTTATTTTGCACTAGAGAGTTTACAGTAAAGCTAAAGTGAGATAGAAGTAGCTGAACCAATCAAGATCGCAACTTCGCCTGCACTTTCGCCTATCTATTGCGGAAATTGTCTGCAAATTTTTGTGAGTTCAAGACTTTGTGAACAGTTCTACCGGACCATGCTTAGCACAGATCTTTTCTACACTGTTCGTCAATTTATGATGTTACAAAATCGCCTTCTCATGTGGTGTCTCTCAAACTTGAAAGTCGTCTAATTTGGCAGGTATTCTATCCTACAATGTGCCACCAGCAGCAAAACAATGTAAGAAATGTTGTTAGCACGTCGAGTAATTCGTCTATGCGGAAATTATAAGATTTGCTTTATACATGCATTCGAACATATGGCATTGTCATAACTGTAGAGAAGCTTATAGATCATCAGCATGAAGGTTTGAATAAAAAAAATTCATATGACTTTTTTAACTTTGATCTGCTAGCAGCAGATGAAAAAATTACCGTTTTGTCAGTTTATCAGTTAGATACAATACCACCCACATAACTTGCAAAATTTCCATGAATGTCGCAAAATTCCGAAAATTCCGCGAGTTTGTTTAATAACTCTCTTGCTTTCAAATCTTTCGCCGAGTATTAAGTACCTCTATGTAGACCGAGGTACAACTTATTGTTAGATTTACAGTATGGAGAGAGTTCTTAGTCACTCTTCTACTAGGATTACAGTGCAAACTTTCAGCATACAACGCCACTGTGGAACAGGCTTTTTAATGAAAAAAATTCCATCCGGGAAATTGTGTTAGCAGGTCCTCAGGCGTTTTTCACTACATAACTTCTTAATTTTCGAGCTTTTTAATGAAATTGACACGCAATTCAACCACACTTCTGACGAACATTTGGAAAACAGTTGTCATTTTAAACCTGAATAAACTTATGAAAGAAGCACTAAAGTGAAGTGCAATAATTCAAATAAAGTTTTCCATTAACCCAGTACAAGAGTTTCTGGCATTTCTGGTGTGTTTGGTTTTTCATTTGAGGCAAAATCGCTTTCAATTTCCTAAAGTCTTTCTCAAAATTTCTACCGTAATCCTACAGTAATGGAAAGTGATTGATGATTCGCTCGATACTGTAAATCTAAGTTGAATCTCGCTTTAAAGAATGGTACCAAAAGCTTGGCGAAAGACATGAAAGCAAGAGAGTTATTGATGATCGAACAGCATTCACATCTTTTTGGGACACCAAGTTTGAAGATTCCACATTGTTTTTTCGACGACATTTTTATTTTGAAAGATCTTCTTCTATTTATACAACCTCAATTTTTTTTCTCAAAGACCGACGATTACACTTTAGACAACCAGTAATGTCTTGTTCAGAGAAATTTGCAGCTGATTCGATTCGAACTTCGTAGTGCATAAACTGTGATTTTATGCTGCAAAGCAAAATTATGAGAACTCACATTGAACAAGGTTCAATGCATAAAATTTTTCCCACAACTATAACTGTAGACAAACTGATTTCACTGAAGTTTTGTTGACCTATTTAACCAAAACATTTTTTTCGCATGATTACCAAAAAATCACATTATCACTTCGAGCATATTTTTTCAGAAGAAAAATCTTGCATTCTGGATTTTAGTGTACAAGGATTTAGAGAGAAATGCTTTACAAGATATTCCTGCTCCTGATTCTGACATATACCGCGTCTGCCTGCTTCTCGTTGTCATCCTGCCTTAAAGGAAGCTCAGAGGAAAATGGATTTGATTACTCTTTTTATGCTGATGTGAGTTTCAAATTTTGAATCACAGTTCGTGTAATTGAATTATTGACAGCTTTACAGTGCGACAACTATTGCTTCCACAAATATAAAAGTAAGAGTGAGTATAAGAAGTGCTTAGCCAAATGCGTGAAAGAAAGCAAACCTAAAAAGAAGGAAGCTAAGAAAGCTGCAAAGACCCAATCCAGCCACTCATAAAAGAAAAGATTTTCCATTCGCAAAATGTAAACAAAAAATTTTGTTGTTACACAAGTGCTTGAATTGTTGAAATAAATTGTCAACGTTCTGCTTTTTTACGCATACATCTTTTACAAAGAACGTCTCTAATATCAAATGCGATTGCCTTGAACCTGTGTAAATCAGTGTATAAATACGTTGAAAATCTCATACAAAAAAGAGGATTGTGTATGTAAACAATCATTGAAAAATTTCTTATACAACAAGGAAGCATATAAGCTCACTTTCTTGGAAGTTGTATATCATGCCATCGTTTCAACAGGTTATGCGCTGTACTATACGCTGAATAACTTTGATTCGATTCGTCAAAGGTAGATCGTAATGTAAGTTGTTTTTAAAATCAATATCCAAGAATATTTGATTCTCAAAAAATTAGATCTTTGCTTGGATATGTCTCATCTATTTTCCAACTACTCATTTTGTATGGGGCACATACAGGTCCATCGATTGGACTCACCACTTCTTTTGTATTCAAAAATCAAAAAACAAAACTGGAAGAGACACAAAAGCCTCGCTACTTTGGTTTCATTGCTAAGTCCATGTATTTTTTGAATCAAAGCAAGTACAAGAGTATAAAGAAATGGCTGTTTGTTTAAGGTATACACCCCATAATTTTTTTGTATTCACACTGCAGTGGGCCACTCAAACCCTATAGGCTTACCGAGTAGGTATATTTTGGCAGTTGGAGCCATTTGAAGCACTAAATTAAATGAAATTATAATGAAGCACTAATTAAATTTTTAACTGAACAAAATTTGCGAGCAATAAAGCATTCCGAAAACTTTTAGCGCTTTCAGCCATCAAAATCTTAACCATACTTTGCAAACTCTCTTATTACGAGCCATATCGTGGAACAAAAGTTAATGATGGCAAGAATTTGACATTTTCAATCATTATTCGCATTTGGCACTCTGTGCCTAGCTGTGGAAATAAACTTAAGCAGTTATTGTGACGAGCTGATGTGATAATAAGTGAATTCTTACCAGTAAGAAATGAAAAGTTCCGTTATATCATCCAGACAAAATTCATTAGAATACCGAGACGGAATTGTGGCATCCTGCTTACACAATTCTACTACAAGACATTTTAATCTATACTTGTGTTCAACTTTAGTTTTTTGCAATATGTACGAAATTTTGAATTAGGTTTTGAAACCATGCAATCTAACCTAAAAAATGAAAAAGAATTCTTTTGATAAAGAACCGGTGGTGTCGCGCTTTTTTTCTGAAACAAGATTTATAAAGCAAGCAATCTAACCTAAAAGTAACTTAAAACTTTTAAGGAACCTGTGTACTGAGCTTGTTCTACGAACACGTCCTTATGTTTTTGCAAGTAAAATGATACTTACACTGTTCAAAATAAGTCTTGATTAAAACAAAATTCATACCATGCAGTCTAACCTTAGGAAATCACTCACAGTTTATACCGCTAAAGAGCCGATTGTTGATCTCTTCTTTGCAAAAGGAAGAAAGAAGACTTTTTTGTGTTTGCGCAAGTAAAATAATTTATGAAACGACGTTTTTGTGTAAATCGAATAAAACGTCGTCTAAACATGATTAAGGTTTTAGAATAGAAAGGATCGTTGCGATTGTGTTTTAATCGCAACTTTCGCCGGTTAGCTTTAGAGAACAGAGTCTTCAAAAACGCATTGCAAGGTCTTTGATTTTCAGCTTGCTAGAATCAGGGCACTAAGAAGCCACAAAACGTTTCGTAGAAAATCAAATAGCAGTAATTTGTAAACTACCTTTGCAAAAGAATTTGTCCTTATCATAGCATTTTACTTAGAAACCAAAAAAAATACATTTTGAGAAGAACAGAAATCTCACATAGAACACTGTGGCAAAAAAATTCACCTGAAATTCTGTGGCGATTTTCTGCTGTTAATCGTTTTTACTACTTGCAGTAAAAAAAGGATTTTTCTTGTAAAATAGCGCTTGTCACAAACTCTTCGTTCTGAATTTTTATGCGAGAATGAAGCCAGTTCCAGTAAAGTATGGATATTGCTGTGGCTGGCTCATGCTATTTAGGAATTTTTACAGCTGTTCTGGGGTTGCGCTCCGGAAGTATTGATTCCAAACTCAAAATCTCCCAACTCTGAGTTTTTACCCTCTTCCATCGCTACCATTTGGTTAATTTAGATTCGGGGTTTGATTATGTTCGAATTACACAATAGTTTTCAATACAGACCTTTATAATGAACAAGAATTGTTGATGAATTATTTTACAAAAAAGCTGACCAATTGGAAGGGCGTAAAACAAATTTTGAAGAACGCTCAAACGTAATTCATTCATGACGCTCAAACAAGCGCTTCGAATGCATTTGAAAAGACAGAAACTTACCATTAAAAATCTTTAGGGTGCGCTTTTTTTGCTGCAAAACACAGTTCAAATTATCGCAATATCCAAAAAATATTCGCAAGGATACGGATTCGACACCTTTTAAGCATTCATTATACGAGTCAAAATTACTCTTCTGCAATCAAAAAGCCGTAACACTCATTTTGTGTTTCGTTTTCGAAAACTAAAGTCTTTTCAAGTAACGAATTCTTTCACCTTATCATTTTCTTATATGGAAGGATATTTGGCGACCCCGGCCATTTGGTATGCGATGTATACCATAAGGTGGACCTCGAAACGCTGAATTTAAATCTGTGCTTGAAATCTGCGAAACGATCATAAGAGGGCACTTACGAACTTTTTTTCGTAAAAAATTTGCGTACTTTTAGGTAGCTAAAATCACCCAATTAGTCTATTTTACCGTTTGAAGCTATTGGGGAGACTTGGAAAGTGTACGTGTACTTATACTTATCTAAATCGTATTCAGCAGTTAAAGAGGAAGGCAAAATTTTTATCAATGATTTTCACGCTCCGCAGCAGAGTAATTTGTTTTTGGAAAAATAATTTCAACTCCATCCAGGTTCTCGTTTCGCAGAAATGGAAGGCAGAATTCAATCCAGCATTAAAAGGCGCATTTTTTGTTTTACAAACCATTATGAATGGCGGGTCACCAAGTATCCTTCCCTAATGTGACCCTAATGTTTAGTTTAATGTGTCTGCTCAGTGTCCAAACTAAAGTTTCAAGCGCAAGCAAACTAAGACTACTTGCGATGCCTCCCTTATGGGTTCCGTCGTTCAAAGAAATTTTCTAGTTATTCACAAAACAACCTTGCATTTCGTACATAATCACAAAACATTTCCATGCCGGAATTGTTGTGCAAGATCGCGTCCTTCTACGCGCCGCCACGCAAAATTAGGCATCGTCGTCAATGGGTTTAAAGAAACGGGGTACTGCCAAGCCAGAGTCATTAAAAAGGACGCTTGAGGTTTGGATACGCGTAAATACAGCTTATCAGAGAGAGAAATTCTTTTTTACTGATTTCCTGTGAACTTAAGAATGCCAGGCTTAGTAACCTTTAATTAGAGTGTAATCTATAATTATGCGACCTCGACAAAATGCGATGAAATATTTATGAATCTCAAATGATGGTGACGTGATGGTCCCATCAATCAGTGATAATGAGAGCGATTACTAGATGTTACGTTTCCATCAACTCCTTCATCGAAAACACACATCAACGAATTTTGGTCTACTGATCTAGCTGCACACCTTAAACTACAACAACTCTACGAAGTTCTTGCAAGGATTTTATCTTATTTATTTTATTCTAATAAAATTTCGAAATAAAGAAGGAAAGTATGGAATGCGAATAGTGATACTCCTTGATACTCCTTTGATCACCATGCTCGCTGACATTTCTGCAAATGCAGCTTTTTTCAACTCTTAACGGCTTGTTTGGACAGCTTCCACAAGGCATAAGAATTGCTAATTATTCCTTTGAAAACTAGGTTCAAGTTTGATGCAACTGTAGAAACTGGGTTTTCCTCGTGATCCTTTCAAGTTTCATCGTGATCAGAGTTGAGCAAACGTTCAAGCACAAGCCGTTCGGAAACGACCCCCCCCCCTTCCAGGAAGGCCCCCAAACGACCTTCTTAATCCTCTACATCTTTGAAACCTCAGAGTGTGACACACCGGAGAGGACGAGTCTGTTCTAGAGTTTTTAATTTTAGGAGACTGTATGATCGCTTTTCTGTGATTGGCACGTTACAAGTCATGCAATTTGACGGCGGATTTTGATGTGAATCGCCCTATTGAACGAGCCAGAATTTCCTCATCGGTGAAGTGTCTTGCTCCAAATTTTCATTGAGGCAAGGAGAGACTATGAGCTCAATACTCGTACCAAGAATGGACTGATTTTTGAATTTTGAAGACAAGTTAATTGGGTGAGGCGCAACGCTTCAAAGCTCAGGCGGCCTGACCTTTTGAGGGGTTGCGCCCGATCCCATTAACTTTATCTCCGAAGAAGCTTTTTCATCAGTTAAGAGATGCTATACAAGAGAAAACGTTTTGCTTGAAATACTGTCCATTTTCATACTTCGGTATTAATGCAAGTTTCATCCATGAGCAAAGTGTGCTACAGCATGAATTTGTCAACAAATCCACAAAAAATCACAAACACTTTTTGTTTTCGGAACCGTGAATTTTTGTATGACACGTATGACCTTTCTTCGCAAGTATAACTAAAAAAGCGAGATAATCCCAGGCAGCGGCTCAGCAGAACTTCGTTTTTCAGTTTTTCACCTTTTCGGAGCCTTCTCGCCATGAGGAACCTCCATATTTGGGCTTTTCAGCGCGTGAAAATGGTAAATACGCTTTTCCGAAGCATTTTAGGTCTGTATTCAGTGAAGATACGCCTGAAAAAGCCGTGCCCCGCCTTTTCCGTTCCAAGCCCCGCCCACTTCTGCACTAAAGGCTGACCTGAAAAACTTCGGAAAAAGCGCATTTTTGCCTTTTCATGCATTGAAATGCCCAGATATAGAGGTTCCTCATTCCAACAAGGCTCCAAAAAGGTGAATAACTGGAAAACGAAATTCTGCCGAGCCGCTGACTTGGCATTAAACGA